GATGAGCTTCTGCAGCTTAAATGTCCATGTCTTGATGGGCAATGCCCTAATACCATTGGTAGTGTCATGAATCTAAGTAAGGTCGACACCAAGTGATAGCAGTTACTGGGGGTTGACATTACCATGCCCTTTTTAGTATTTGTCTTTTGTCCTATTCAGTAGCACTGAGCCCTGCCCAAGCCTGGCCCTTCTCTGCCCCTGTAAAGAAAAGACTGTCCCATGTATGGACCTAGCGAGGTTGGTGGGTCCTGGGAGAAGAAGAGGTGAAGGAAGCCTGAAGAGGTCCGCTTTCAGCTTGTACCATACCTTCACCTATGGGGTGAACTTCCCTTGGGACGAGAAGATCACATGAATTTGGGAGCAGGTACACTATAGTGAGCAGGGAACAGAGACGCACCTGCTCCCACTTGTTGCCACCAAAACCTCACTATCTAGCAAAATCATTGTCTACTGGTTCAGAAGTGCCATGCTTATGGGGACAGTCTGTGTCCTAGGAGAACCTGGATGAGGTAGAAGTTGAGTGTAGGCAGGCAGTCTTGTGCCCAGGGACAGTAAGGCGCAGTCTTCCAGCACTACTTCGTGTTTGTGTCCTCTTCCAGGAGATGAAGTCCCCAAAATACAGGTCCCACACTGCTAGCATAATCATCGTGACAGGGCAGTTGGTGTTCAGTGAGGGGAGAGAGAGAGGTGGTGTCATCCATAGTCCCACAACCGTCCCAGTCCCCATTTTCAAAAAGTTGTATAATACCACCATGCTGTTTTGCTGTTGACACAGTGAAATGTTATCGCAGCGATTGTCATGATATTGCTGCTGTCATGCTCTCTAGGATAAAACTAGCCCAGATCCGTGTGGACATGCTGCAGACATGCCTCTGGCCTGCAGTATAGGCATAGCTTCAGGACCTGGATCTTCTTTCTGTGCAGACACATGGTGTGCTGAAATTTCTAGGACTTCTCCCATGTCTGTAGCAGTTGGAAGAACATCTGTATGATCACGGCCAAGACGGTAAAGAAAAATCCCCAAAACAGCTGCTCTTCATCTTCCACATGATTGTTTTAACTAAACATGGCCCAAGGTGTGTGCTGTGCTAAATCTATTCTGTTGTGAAATAAAGCTATTAACTTGTTTTTTTTTTTTTTTTGTTAATAAATGGTAAGTCTTATTGTGGAATAATAAGTGTTACAGCTGGACAAAGTCTTTATTGCTAAAACATATAACTACAGCAGTGCAAATTCTCACAGTGCTGGCTTTTCAAATGTTTGTCATATATAGCAGTTGATTATCTGACAGGGAAATTAAGGTTGGTAACAACATTCTCCATTTTACTCTGAAACCATCCTGATTCTGTTGTAATCATAATTTTTGTCATATTTCTATTTGGCGTCAGATGGAAATGTGGCAACTGGGGAAGAATTGTGAGTGTTACATTGTGCTGTAGGAACAATTAAATCAAGTTTATCCCTACAAAGACCAAAGGTGCAAAAATTTGAAAGAAAATAAATGGAAGGGAAGTCAGCAGGCTTTCACATGTGGTCACTGTCCTCACTCAGCCTGAGCCTTTGCTATCCCTGCCATTTCTGAGATTTGGACAAATTGTTTCATGGAATTGTAGGAGCAGTAATATTTTGCTGTTTTCTGCATGATGAGCAACCTTTATCTTTGCTGTTATAAACTCAGGTTAAATTAAAACAAAAACCAAGAGAAGACAATCTTTAAATATTTTTTCCTGGAGAAAGTCAAAGTTGTTTTAGCACAGCTGCCGTGACTGTGCTTAAGGCTGTGGTTGTACATATTGTATGCTAGTGTAATGGACCCACAGATGGCAGGCACATATCAGGCCCTTGTTTCAAAGCTGTCTCTGGGGTCTTTGATCATTATATGCCGCTATATTCCAAGTTGCAGTGCAAGAATATTAACATACCTTCTTTATTTTCAATGCAAAAGGGTGTGTTAGTGTCATCTTCACTGCCACGTTGGTCTGACACATGAATCTCGTCTCTGATCTGACTCGTGTCCCCATACATAAATTGCTCACTGGAATGAAATGGTATTTGGGTTAGCTGGCTGAGCAGAGCAGCTGGGAGGAGGTTAAAAGCTTGAGCACTGCTGACACTTGAGCTGGTGGTGCGGGAGAAATACAGCACTCGGGTTACAGCAGCTCATCAATTGCTAAGCCTCCGGCTTTGCTTGTCCAGTCATTCTGCAACAGCAAAATATTATTTAGTGAACTGGTTGCTCTCAGCTTGCTCTCGCTAGGGATCTGTCTGTTGTAGTCAAACTGCAGGCTAGGATGTCTTGTGTTAGGTTTAAACCAGTTACTGAGAATGGGATGGCAGTGCAGGAATTCAGTGCAAGCTACAAAACCCATCCAGAACTGCACTGAGCTCTGGGTGGATGAGATCACACCCAGCTAACCAGCCATGCAAGGAAATTTTGGTACCAGCCCAGTAAGAGTTGCATTTGTAGACTGCAGAGTAGATGTCCCTTAGACTGGCCTAAGAATCATAGAATCATAGAATCGTTTAGGTTGGAAAAGACCTTTAAGATCATCCAGTCCAACCATTAACCTACACTACCAAGTCTACTCTAAGCGAATCAAGGGTAGACTAGACTAAACCATGTCCCCAAGTGCCACATCTACCTGTTTTTTGAACACTTAAGAAGAAAAGCTTGAGGTGCCTGTTGGGAGTGAGAACATGTCCCAAGAGTGGCTCAGCCACTGGCAGGAAAGTAGCCAAAATTCAGGCATCAACTCTTGTGGCAGGTTGGAGAGTTGAGATGGGAGAGGTGCGATTTTAACAAAACATCAGCTCTATGGACTCCACTGCCAGGCATATAAAATAAGCAAAATAAAATGTCTCGGTATACCAGCAAAAAAGCCCCATCCATTTAAAATACATTAAAAAGTAGAACAGGCTAATGAGAAAGAGCAAGGTCTGCAGGAAGAGC